GATCTTGTCAGATCCAACAGCGCTGTACATAATAAACATTGAGAGCTGACTCATTTGCGACTAAGTTCTTACTAAAACGGCGCCGGACATTTTTCATTATAATTTTAACAATAAATAATTTCACTATTATTTATTGTGAAAGTATATCAAAGCAGTCACCCTACACTATCATTTGAATTCAGTAATGCTTTAAAGAATAACTGCTTTACTCATGTACACCCCATCTCCTCACTAGAGGATTTTTTTTTTTAAAACAAGGTCTTGCTATGTAGTCCAGCCTGGCCTTGAACTCACTCTGTAGCCCAGGCTGGCCTCAACCTTGCAGTGATCCTCCTGCTTCAGCCTTCACACCCAGTGACTGGAAGGGTTCTTTAAGCATTAAAAAACACTGAAATGTAAAAGTGGGTGCGACATCTTCTTTTCATGGTATAAAGGCTCCTAAGAAATGATTTGAGAAAAAAAAAATGATTTGCAAAATGAACTAATAACATAAAACAGATAACATCTCTACCAATATTCTGCTTAAATGATAACAAACTTCTGTTCTTTGGATACTGACTACACCAATTAAAAATGTTAGTGAGCCACTATCAAGAGAATAAAATAAAAGCTTTTTTTTGTCTTTAGATATATGCAAGCATCCTGAAGGTATTTACTAAATATCCAGATATTTCTAATAGACTAATGATAGTATGAGATCGCATGAATTCATGGTATGTGAATATTTTCAGTAGAAATGTCAAATTTTGACCACAGTACTTTGAAAGATGACTTCAAAGAGGATGTCAGAAAATGAAAAGGTATACCCTGTAATCTAGATTTATATCTCCCACCATGTACTAAAATAAAATCAGAAATGGATCAAACATCTACATGTTAAGACAGAAACAATCTGCTGGAAGATAAAATAGTTTTTGTAAACCTTGAGGGGTTTTTTTGGTACCAGGAATCCAACTCATGCTTACCAGGCAGGCACTGTGCTGATGAGCAATATCCCCAGCTTAAACCTTGAGGACATAGGTGAAGACAAAAACATTCTGAACAGAACCTCAGCTGCACAAGAAGTAACATCAAGAATCAACAAAAGGGATTATATCAAATAAAGAACCTCCGCACAGCAAAGAAAAGAACCAACAGAGTAAGGGCAGTCTACAGAATGGGAAAAAATTTTTGCCAGCTACTCCCTAGAGGACTGATATCAGTATATGAAAAACTAAAAAAAAAAAAACAAACAAACAAACTGAAAATGAAAGACCTAATTCAAACATAGGTAACTAAAATGAATACACTCTTCTCACACAGAAGAAGTAATAGTATAAATGGCCAGGAAATACAGGAAAATATGCTCATTACTGGTCATTACAGAAATACAAATTAAAACAACACTGAGATTCTACCTTACTCTGGAAAGACTGACTATCATCAAGAACTCAAACAAATGCTGGCAAGCCTTCAGGGAAAAGGGAATCCTTCCATATTGCTGGTGGATATGTAAACCAGTACAATCACTTTGGAAATCAGTATGGAGATTCCTCAAAACACTAAAACTGGAAATTCCACTTGACCCAGCTATTCTCTTTCTAGGTATTTCTCCAAAGAGTTAAAGACATTATATTACAGTGATACAAACATACCCATGTTTATAGCAGCACAACTCATAATAGCTAAATCTTGGGAAGTGGCCTCTGTGGAATAACACTCTACCACACGGAAGGATAAACTTGAGCGTCATCCGTAAGGAAAATGGATGCACCTTGAGGCCATGTTAACTGAAATAAATATTGCATGGTTTCCCTTATATGAGAAACCCAAATTATAAATAAAGAGCAAAATAAAACACGGTAGGATGTGGGGTGATAGATCTTTTGCAAAAGGGACGGGGACCAAGAGATGGAAAGGGAAAATAGTGGGAGAAGGAGATGAAAAACATGTACCAACTTCCCATGAGAAATGGTATCATTATGTACTCAGACCTATGCCAATAAAAATTTAAATTTATCAAAAAGTCAAGTTTTCATAGGAACTAAGCTTAATTTAGCTTAATTTTGTAAATCATTAGTTTACTTTTCAAGATAACTATTGCCTTACTTTTAAAAATATTTAATTATAAAAAAATAAAAACCACTCTAGAAATATGAGTGCTATTATTACTGCACTTTTGAAATCAATGGTTACAAGTTGTGAAAGAACTGAGGTATATAATCTTTGTAGTAACAGTGGGTTAAAGTTTCAAATACTTACTCAGACTCAACTTTTTCCTTAATTGCTTGCCATTCTCCATATGGGTTTGATTTTTTCAAAGTTTTGGATTTTTCTTCACTTGGACTTGATGAATTCTGTTTTTGGACACTTTTTTCTTTCTGTATTTTTGGGGCAGTTCCTTCATCACTATTTTTATTTTTTACCTGAAATATAAAAATTAAGGAACAGTACACCTCAAGCAAAACTGCCATGACAGAAATAAAATTTCTTTTAAAAGTTTTGTTAGATTTATCAAAATATATTAACTTAGTACCACAGTTTAAATCTGTACACAACACCATAATATACACTGGAAGAACTTTAATACTTGATTAGGTTTTTCATTATGTCTGAAATGTTAATACACTGTGTCCAATGCTGTGTATTTTAAAATAATATAATGAGATCCTATTAACGCCATGAGTTGGTACAATTAAGGGCATGTAAGTAAGAAGACTACTTTTCTGTTTTCTTACTTAGGTTGCATATCCAACAGTGACTTCTCTTTATATTGTACCTCTTTTGAATTTGATGTTGTGTCATCAGACCCTTTTACAGCTAGTATGTATTTTAAAGACCTCCTTGAACCTGTAAGTCTTAACTGAAATCCACCTTCATTTGAGGATATTGCTAAAGCCTCACTGGCCTATACAGTTAGCAACTTTGTCCAAATTAGAAAGATACTCCCTGGGAGAGAAGTAGCCTCTACAGAAGTTCCTGAGTAGAACAGGTGCTTTATGGCATCTGTTCATCTAGAATAACAAAACCTTGTAACCCAGATTAGCAAGCGGACCACAAACTGGATTTAAACCTCTCCGTAAGCTGTACATCGAGTGGTTGGCCTGGGATAGTCTCCTTTACAACTCTTCAAACGGATGTTAGCTCAGCCCTTCATGTGGCTGGTATCACAGAACCACAGGGGCAGCATGCACTGTGTTTTAGCAACCCTGACTGCTTCCAGGACATGACTTTCTTAATAAAACATTTTTACTGAGGTACAAGTTTATACTTTTACTCTCTTTATGCATCACAGATCTCCTCTGACAATCACACCGTTTTCTCTACCGTTTTCTTCCTCGTATGACCCATGACCTCTGGCCACTACTGTACATTCACTGATGACTTTGGCAACACTGGCACAATTTTTCACCCTATTCAAACTCCTGCTATCATCTCAGGAAAGGTTAAAAATCACCTGGCCTCAAAACCATTGACTTTGGCCTTTACTATGCTTCATTCATCTAGTGTATGTGTCTCTTCTCATATGCAGCCCTGGGCGCATAGACAGCACAATAGTGAATCCTTAAACCGACATTCCTCTGATTTCAACTTGGTCAGCACTCAAAATGTCCCATGAAGTCTTTAAAAGCCAAAGTCCTCTCTCTGAGTATAGGTATTGTAAGACATTAACAATATTAATAAAATAGAAAAATTATAACTAACAGATTTCATATTACTCAGAAAAGCAGGCAATTTAAAACTTATGAATGATTATTTCTGGAACTTTCCATTTTGTATTTTCATACCTTGGTTGACTAGGGTAATTAAATCCATGAAAAGAAAAGTCAAGGATGGGGGAGGAGAACTCTAAACATGTCCTGGCTTTATTTCTATCTTACATCAGAAGACTGAAAGTCTACAGAGCTTTCCTATAAACTGATAAATTTTTGAGATAAGTAAATCAAGAACCTACCTTAAAACTTATTTTTGGCTGTTTTGTTTCTGCAGAGACTTCTTTTGAGTCTTGTTCCCCATCAGAGTCACTATCTGATGATTCAGATTCTTTTAGGCTGCCAAGTGACTTTTCATTGACCTTATTAGAAAGCATACTGCCAGTATGTGGAATGAAATCATCAGGTTTTTCCCATTTGGATTCTGCTCAACACATTTTTTAATAGTCATGTTACTTATTTACCAACTCTTAACACTTTCAATCATTTACAATTATTAACCTTAGGAGGTCGCTAACCTGAGAGACACAGGTTTTTCCCATTTGGATCCTGCTCAACACATTGTAAGCCATGCTATGTATTAGTTCCTTTTCTTATTGTTGAGACAAAAATACTTAACACCCAAAGTTAAAGGGGGAAAAGTTTTGTTTGGTTCAGTTTGTAGAGGTTTCGGTCCAAGGGCTGGGGATATAGCTCAGTGGCACAAGCGCCTGCCTGGCTAGCGGCAAGTCCTGAGTTTGATTCCCGGTACCAAAAAAAAAGAAAAAGAAAAAAGAAAAAGAGGTTTTGCTTGCTCCAAGTCAGAGGGACACGGCAGACAGGTTTTGCTTGCTCCACGTCAGAGGGACATGGCAGACAGGTATTGAAGAGGACGAACAGTTTGCAGTAGGCAGAAGATAGCAAAGTAACAGGGACAACTACAGATCTTTCTATCCTTTATATCTTATTTAGGCTACTAAGGGTGAGTAGTAATCACACCCTTAATCCAAGTGCCCTTGATCCTACTATTGCTCCACAAATTGATCCTGGCCATCACATTCTCGATCCAGCCACCTCTGAAAAAGCCCCACTTACAACTGTATGAAGTTTTGTTGGGACATGTAGATACAGCCATAATATGCTATCAATTCTAATACCTTTTCTATTTTTTTTTTTCTGGTTTTTTTGAGACAGCATCTCACTATGTAGTTCAGGCTGACCTTGAACTCACAGTGATTCCTTTGCCTCAGCCTCCTGAGTATTAGGATTACAGGCAAGCACAATCACCCCTGACTTAATCCTAATACTTTCTCTCATTTACCATTTTTAACCTTTAGGAGGTTGCTGTTCTGACAGATACACACACAACGAGTCCATAGATTCGAAGTCATGACTAGCTGTGTACTTGTACATCACTAATGTTAAACAACCAGTTTGCTCAGATTTTTTTTGCATTTCAGCAAAACTAGTAATGAGTGTTTGGTCAGTTTTTATTTTTTTTGTATTTCAGCAATACAACGAGTGTTTCATATGTACATGACCTACACTTTAACTGTGACCTCTGCAATACTGTATTCACTTCATGCTAATACTTGATCAAAAAGACAAATAATGGTTCTCAAACCTCTGCCTTCTTCCAGAAATTGATTTTAATTTACAAACTCAGATTCACTAGCTGTAGAAACTATAACTCCAATTGAAAGATGTAAGAAACAGGGTGATATTCTAAGGACTCTCACCATCTATCTGACGTTGATTTCAGGAAACACAATGAAAACAGTGAGATTTCCTAGACTTTACTATGACAAAGACTTTTCTGGGATTTTCACAAGGTGTAATCATAAAATGAAGATCTGAATAAATTTAATTTGTCATTTTTATTGGCAGAATAAACCTTGCTTGAACTCTACTGCCATCTAGTGGTCCATGACACTATATA